AAGAAGCACCAGCTCGAAGTTGTCACAAGCAGATGGCTCTGAGGCAAGGGCGTGAAGGGTGGCAAGATGCGGCCCAAGAGTGCTAGCTCTGGTCAGTACCTGAGGTAGGGTTTAGGCTTCAGGGTTTAGGATTGGGGTTTTAGGGCTCAGGGTTTTTTTCGTTGTCAAGGATTTTGTGTGCAAAGCGGAGGGGTTTCGGGTTTCAAGGTTGGGAAAAACTTAGCTTCCAGGGCTTTACTAGTAGATCACGAGCCTTCTCAGTTTGGGGCTTGGGGCCCGCGGTTTCAGCTAACATAATTGTTTGGCAGGGCATATTTAACATGCTTGCCGTGGAAAGGAGTTCCTCATTTTAGCAAGCCTTGCTTCTTCCCCATCGGAATAACACAGTATGGGACCGGGACTGGTTCCTGAGTTGAGTAGTCTGCGATGGCTGTGCCAGAAGACACGTGAGAAATCTGCACTTACACCCGCCGCCCCCAACTCTAAGCCCTCAACCCCTGAGCCCGAAATCACATGGCAATTTCAATTTAGATTGTCCATGTTCGCTTTTGATTCTCAGTTTCAATGTAAAAATAAAAGAGAGTACCAGCCATACCGAATAGCATCCTATCTCCTCAGAACCCTCGAAGATTTTCTGCTTTGAGGTCCGGCTCAAAGCACACAGTCGGGTCCCGGGCCTGGAGATTACAAGGCCAGCTCGTGGCTATGTAGTTGTGAAGTTGAGTACTTGGAGGGTCATGGGGACTTATTCAGGAGGTAGATGTTGTAATGGAAAGAAAATGGAAACTATTATAGATGATTTAAGGATTTAGGTTTGGGGTCAGTCTAAGGCAGCACCTATTAAACTTACTGATGCTTGAGGGGGAGTGGGGGATTGAATATAGGTACCATTATAGGGGTAAATAAGGATTATAGAGACGAATATAGGGATCCACTCCTACACTCGGCTAAAAAGGACTATCATAGGGAACGATATAAGGACTTAAAAAACAATTCATTCCTCCACTCCCCCGTGATCAGCAAGCCACCAGGTGTACCGTCTCTTTCCGACTGAAGGGATCTGAGCGGGCTGTTTGGTGCCATCATCAAGTTTGAAATTTACAAGCCTCAGGGCGACTGTGATGAACACGCAAGAACCCGCGTCTTTTCATAAGGCCTCTGCCTCCTCTTGATGAGATGATCGCAGTGTTTTCTGCTGCTTTGGACAAGCCCTCATGTCAATACGGCAAGGAGGGTGTCTCAAGCCTGCGCCAGCATCGTGTTTCAGCCAGTGTGGTTTCACCTCTTTCTCGACGTACGCAAAGGCCAGCTGGCACATGGGTCCAAGAAGGACTTGTGCCCATGGCACGCAGAGATCCAGATGCCTCCTGACCAGCGAGAGGCCTTGACAACAGTGCTGGTGTTCGTTATAGAACCCCAATATACCATATAGTATAGTAGTCTTTTCCACTTTCCTTATATTACCTCAAAATAACCCCAATATTATCCCAGCATAACCCCTATATACCCCCAATATATTCCAAAATAGTAGCTTCCATGTTCTTTTCCATTGTCTCTATAAAAATGCAGCGGCTGGCTGCCAAGATGCCTGCCTTTGCCAACGCCGGACGTACTCATCACAGTGATGGTCAGGTTGGCGCACCACCGTCCCGGCTGCAAGGCTTTCAGATGGGCCAGAACTGTCGAACTACACAAGTGCCGGGAACATGGTACTACACTTACTACACTCCTCCATCCATCAAAAAGCAGAGCGGTGGACGGCAGCTAGCGCCCCCTAAGCTGAGAAGCAACATGCAGGCAGTCATCCGCCCACAGAGGCGGCAAACACATCGGACAGGCGGCTATTAGAGGCAAAGCGGCAGCATATGTAGGATGTATATATCATACGTGCAAGTATTCCGGCCTGGAGGTACGCTTAACTTGACTTTCAACATCAGCAATACATCGAACCTTTGCAAATTAATTCCGCTCCAAACTGTGAGCAGCCTTCCAGCATGCCGCTTCAAGAGCGCCATGTTGCAGCCCCCGTGTCAAGGCCTCAGGACATGAGCTCACGATCCATCTGAGGGTATAAGCATACAGCTCAACCGAAACCCAGTGCGCCAAGGGACATGCACAAAGGAGATGCCGAGGAGGCCGACTGCTGAGAGCGGGTAAAGCCTTCTCATTCCAACGATGAAGACGCGTTGCCAATGTAGACGAAGCTTTGAGAGAAGCGGTGGAGGGCCATAGGTGAATTAGAGAGTGTTGAATGCCCAAGACAAGGCGGTTTGAGTGTTCCGGTGCTGTAGGCTACATAATAAATCAGCGCTGATTTGCTGAATCTGGGAGTCCTGCCCGCGTGAGGGATTGCTCAGGTGGATCTACACCAGTGGATGCGTCACCTCTTGGCCGAGCACCGGATGCACCTTGAGGCAAAACTCCTGGAGCTGAGAGAAGGCAGGGGCTCTTTTCACAGACATGACTTAGGAGGACCCCCCCACCCTGTAATAATGACTATACGGAATAATGAGGATTTTGGGTCCTATTATATTCCTATTATACCACTATTACAGGGTGGGGGGTCCTCCTGAGACATTACGTCCATGTATATCTTCCTGTGCCAGGACAGCGGAACATCACAGAGCTGTTGACCGCGAACCTTAACGGTGGCTCCACCTCGAGCAGAACTAAGGTGCAGAAGGCCGAGCCCTCGACAACTTTTATGATGCAAGCTGTTTTTTGGCAGAGCAGACTTGACTTGGCTCCGCAAAAGCCTAGCTGTGAACCAAAAGGCAGGCAATGGGTACGGATAGCAGGGAATGCCAGAAGCATAGAAGTATTTTGGAACAGACTTCCTCCTTGCGTGGTCAGGATGCTGTCAGAAACGAACACTTTTTACCGTCGCATGGTGTCTTCCCTTGCAGGCAGTGTCCTGGGATGTGTCAGAGGAGCCCATACGCAGCAACAGTTCAGATTGGAGTGCTGTCCTGGACTGCAATTAAAGGATGACGATGACCAAAAGCTTCATGAGAAGAAGGTGCAAATGATGGGGATGCATGATCGTCCAATGCTACTGAGCCAGACTAAGCCTGTTCAGAAATATGCTTGGCTTTCATTTAGTCCAGTCAGCTATTGTTGCAGTCGACTTGTGTTTGTTGTCCCGCATGGTCCCTTTTTGGGTACCTTACCTCCTGTTAGTATTACTCCGTTACTTGCCTTACTGCAGTGGGGCGGACAACCTGCCATATGGTGCCAGGAGTCGGCTGCAACTCCTGTTCCACGATTGGAAAATGAGCCGCTTAGCTACAAATGACACAAGCAGGTGCTTTGAGCTGTTCGATTCTGACTTTTGCAAGCAAGCAAGGGGTTGGGGTTTTGAAGCCCTGCCTAAGGACTGCGAAGGAAGCTGCAGATGCTCCGAACAAGGATCCTAGCCGCTTCAATGCAGTTTGCTGCACTTGACAAGTCTTGGCGGCTACTACTTCGAGATATTCTCTACTTGCATTCATGTACGTGACAAACTGTTGTACGTTTTGCTGGCTCTGAAGGCCAGGTTGCAACTGTTCCCGGCATAGTGATCCGCAAGGCTGAATATGAGTTTAACGTGTGTGCAATGAATCTCGAAGAACCACTCTGGAAGAGGTGCCGCAGAACTCACTGAGGCAATTCGGTCTTGGACACTGCAGACAGCGAGCCTTCCATGGAATCTGGCCTCAATTACTGCGCCAGACAAGTCCGGTTCACATTGCACGTGTTGACATTGATTTAGTAAACTTGTTTGTGACTTGGAAATGCACTGCATCATGCGTTTGACTACATGGCATTCACGGCATCAAGCCACTGTGCAATATAAGCAAACTCCGCATCCGCCGTAGCTGCAAAGAAGTGTCTGGAAGGCTATACGGGTGAAGCCAAAGCCCAAACGTGCCAGCTCACTGCTCGAAGCTCAGATTCCCTCGTTTGCTTGTGCTCTCCGAGTAGCCTCCTTATAGCATGGACACTTCTGCCGCTCAAAATTGTACGAGCAGACCAAGCGACTTCCCAAAGGGCCAGCCGTCTTTGGCAAAGGTTCGATGTACCGCAGTCTTTGAAGTCTGATGATGACCGCTACGCTTCCTGCAGGTACCACAAAGCAGTGCCACTCATGAGAGTTGCTGCCTTTCAATTACAGGAATTAATGGCACAGACTGGTGAATGACTGGACTTCAGATACCTCAGGCAAGGCGCAGACTTCGCTTTGCGGGAGGCGGGCCACATCGCAGAATCAAGATACAGTTGAAAGCCAGGCTATCTAGAATCTCTTTGATGCCTGCAAGGCCCAAATATGTGACATGTGTTCTAACTCTGTTGCGATGCAATGGCAGAGAGGTGTCAGGGAAGGGCAGATGACCGCAAGCGTTGCGCATGTGAATGTGCGCCGTCAGGTTTGGGCCAAGCACTCGAGATTCAGTAATAAGGAAAGAGCAGCTGCTTGGTGGCCTTTTCATTCCGGCAAGTCAACAAGCTCGTAAGAATGATTTTGAGTTGTATTACTCGTAGCTGTGATCCTCAGAACCGGCAGCAATTTATTGCAGATTCTACCAGCTTGGCCCTTGAGGTCTGCTACCTAATTTTAGGCTGCTCCCGAAATGAGTTGCATTCGTACTGATGCATATTATATGCCCTATGATCCCTATAAAACCCATTGTATACCCTATATATAGTATTTTTCTTTTTCTTTTCCATTATCCCTATAATGGCAAGTCAACAGATTTCAGCTGAGGCCCCACTGTCAGGAATGACTCAGGACACCATGGGCCGCCCTGCCTGATTCATCACTTATTTGTGGCTGGTGTGGAAGGGGGGGACTGAGTAGTCCCTAGGCATTCCTTGATTTTAGTCCGATAGCCCGTCAATTCACTCCCATAGTCCAGCCTGCGCAGTGCTGAGAAACGAACGCCAGAGACGTATGTCCTGAACACCCCTTTGCTTGCTCAGGCTCTGCTTCTCATTCCATCAAACTCGCAATTTCTCCGTCGATGGAGAACATCAACAAGGCTCATCAAGCCTGCATGCAACAGACGTCAGCATTAAATCAGCTGTCAGCCCGATGCAAGATTCGCCAGTGTTTGCTGTTGCTGTTGTTCTTGCTGCTGCTACCGCCTACCAACATGTCTGAGCAACCATGGCGCGTGCTAGTAATTGTGCTTGAGTTCGGGCCTTCTGAATCCAACGCGTATGTCTTGTCGCAGGCTCGAAACCACAAGGGTATCATCGCCTTTCCAGCCCCTCAGATGCAGTAGAGACATATCAAGGCAGCAGAACTGAGAACTCAAGAGCACTTAGAACCGAAAGGCCTCGCAACTTGCAAGGCCAGCAAGCATCGAGTTGCTTGGGATCTGTTTGGTGGCCTGCTCATCCTCTACGATCTCTTTGTGCATCTTGGCTTCGCATAGGCTCCGCCAGTCCTGGCACGAGAAGGGCCCAACTGAAGGACCACCATCCTATAGAGATAAAGTGGATGCTTTTGGATCGAAGGCTCTCCCTAGGTCCAATGAAAGCGATGTTCTGTGTCGGGCCCTAGCTTCAGTACGGCGGGATGGTGCCCATCAGTCTGGTGACTGCCGCGCCTCTTCACTAGTTATGCGGTCCTTGAAACACTACAGTAGGGGTTGCTGGCGCAATAACTCTAATGCTCTGAAGATACATGCAGAACCCAGCTCGGGTAGCCCCTGCTCTCCTGTGAAAATTTGTGGAGCTGACCTGGCCTAAGGATTCCGTTGAAAGTCGGGGCCTCGGTGGCCATCCGGGTTCGACATGCGTAAGGTTTTTACGTAGAAGTTGAGGGGTCCAGGCTGCAGCTGCCTAGGCGCCTGGCAGATGAAGCAGCGTGCTGAAGCACACCGAAGTCTGCCATTTTCCTCTGACGCTTCAGCACAGACATCAGCTGAGGTGTTTGAGTATCCTGATACGCTTTTCACGGACTCTATGGACCGGGCCGGGGGTCTCGTGGACAGGTATTGTATGGACTTCTGCGTGGCAGACGCCTGCAATTGAGGTCTTAGAGACATTGCACTGGCTTGATCTGAATGGCATTGAATGCCTCTACATGCGCTGGTGCCATTGCTCTTGAGTCATTTGCGATTCTTCTCCCTATGCCTGCAGGATTGGATGACTCTCCTATTTTGGTCCCTCAACGTCCCTGCGACACTAACTGTGGGCTTTACACGCCGTGGAGAGACGGTCATGGCACCGCTACTTGCCATTGAAGCTGGATGACTGGCAAAGACGGTTCCTCTTATTGATAGGCATGTTGCTGCTTTCAAGATTAGGGCTACCAAGGGACCATTAAGGGTGGACATAGGAGTTCTTTGCTAGTTCAGTATAGTCCCTTGCATATTCACTGATAAGGACTCATGCCCATTAACTACATGAATCACATGAGGAATTATTGATTGTAGCTTAGTAGCTTATATCAAAGTTAGCTTCCCACTTATTCGTAACAAGCTCCGGTACCTACTTCGGAAGGTTGGTTCCAGACTTCAGATGCAGGTACGATACACGGACTCCGCAAATGCATGGCATCCACAAAAACTGCACTTATGCAACCTTAGGAAGGAACTATCTGAGTGCACAGGAAAGCGTGTGATATGTGTTTTTACCATGGAAGGCTCCAAGTGTGCTGCTCTTTGCAGCCTGAATGCGAGTCAAGGGCCGCGGGTTTGGGACATCGTTCTTCGTGTGCGGCCTGCGCCGAATAGGCAAGGGCCAAAGATCCGGTGCCCAATGCAAACAAGAGGATGGTTCCACACCCCCATGTACGACCGCATCCAAACAATAGCCTGGATCTATTTCCTGCTTTTAGGCCCCGGCAGCAAGCGACCTCCGCATTGCTCATGTTTTGTCGGGGCATGGGCACAGTGTGGATTCGTGCAACCCTCAGATTTCACACAAACTTCAACCAGCTCTGGACAGGTCTCCTCGGACAGAGAGACACCCGTGAGGGATGTTTGGCTGACCTGCGTGTAAGTGAGCAGAGCTATCCTTTCAAATCTCATTCCTCTTGAGCACATGCATGTGGCCTGCGCAGTCTCATCGCTTACTAAGCTGGCTACCAGAACTCTACTGCCACATGAAATGTTGCATTGCTGCTGCTGGGTGTTTGTAGACGCATGAAGACTGATTGTTATGTCAACTAAGGGGTGAGATTGCAGCCTGGCCCAAATTATGCCGATCTGAGCTTACAGCAGAAGACAAGTTGCTCTTGTTCTAGCGCAGTTGTGTTATGCAAAAAGCCCCCTGAATCACAACATTTGATATACCCGGGAACGTTGCGCGCTCCCAGAGGACATCAGTCGATCCGCTATTCTCTGCCGATGGATGTTGCATGACGTTTATGCTGTCCAGTAGCTCAGACTTACTCCAGACAGCTCTCGGAAGAAAGAACATGCATTGCGCCTGTCCTCAGCCAAGTTGAAGAATTACTTGAAAACTTGGTGCATAGTGGACGTCATCACGCTGGTCCCGGACTGGGCATTTACGCTGGTGCGGATATCAACGCCAAACCTGGAAGGCGAGAGTGCAGATTGCGGTAGAGGTGTGAACCAGCAAGTGACTGCATGCCGGATAGCATGAAATGCCCTGGAGCATCCTGATGCACCTTGCAGATGAAGCAAGCGGGGGTGGCCTCGGAGTGCCTTGGCTGTTCAGAAATAGGCTCCACAGCAATGGATGGCACATTTCTCAGATGCGAGATGCAGACATCAGTCATTGTTTGCCAGCCCTGGTAGCAGCGCACGATAGCGCACGCCAAACTGCCTTGCAAATGTGAGATAGATGTAAGGAAGAAGGGGTCCGCCTACTTCGTATCCTTCGCTTGGCACGAACTGCACGGCTGCTGCGACTGCTGAAGCTGCAAAAGGCTTGGATTCACGTGTTCGGGAGTTATGGCCACTTTGCAAACCAAATTTTCTTGTGAAGCTAGCAAGGCAGGCAGTCAGGGAGTCAGCATGTCAAGCACACTGGACTAGCATGAGCTAGCATGCGCCAGTTCATGACGTGGATGTCCAGGCAAGTTGCGTGATCCTACACAGACTCAAGGGGCAAATCAGATTCCAGCGCTTGTTGAAGTGCTATAGTGAGTTGCACATGCGCTTGATGGAAGGTCATGGAGAAGATAAGCGATTATCTGGACTCAGAAGTGGCAAGCATCATGGCCAACATCGCGCCTATTTTGCACAGAACTGTCAGTTATGCGGCAGATATCATATAGCTTAATGCAGCTGGTGGGCATTGCAACTGCAAGGCTTTTTGCATGATCGAGTAGTGCTGTGCATCAGTGTACGCCCGCAGACAGAGATTCTTTCCGTCATGTGTTATACTCCCCTCTCGGTCGGAGCAGAAGCAATTGGGCACATGAGTCACTGCAGTCACTGGAGGCCAAGATGATTCTGCTACTGTTCTTTGGCTGCCTTGGTTGTCCGATTTTACAATCCTTCGCACTTTGCGCTCATGGAGCGCTTGCTGGTCTGCACGAATTGCAAGCCAAACATATTGTGGGCAAAGCGTTATCTCCCTGCCACGCAAGCAACGGCAATATGAGCTTGGGAAAGCTGCTACTTCTCGTACATCGCTGATGTAGAGAAAGGTGTAGCAACCCTTCGGCGAATCCCAGTTCTGAAGTGAGAGAGCCCCAAGGCTCTCCAGCTACTCTGAAGAGAGCAGGACATGCCCATATGAGCTATAGTCTAAATTTCTTAAAGGGGGTTATATAGGGGATAATTTATGGGACTATTATAGGGGTTATTAAGGGGGATACTAGGAGTTTAGACTATAACCCCTATAATCCCCTATACAATCCCAGTTTCCATTTCATTTTCCAATTTCTTTTCCATTTGATTCTCCATTATTAAGGGGGATATCAGGAGTGTAGACCCTAAACCCTAAACCCTAAACCCAGCATATTGCAGAAGCTGAGGCTGGCATTGAATCACCTAATCGCCTGTGGCCTGGCAGCTTATCATTTGGGTTGCTGTTAAGGAACTTAAATTAAGTTACCATAATGGGGTTAGGGTTTAGGGTTCAATTAAGTTACCATAATGGGTATGTATAGTAAATAATAGGGTGTCCCCAATATAGTAACTTAATTTAAGTTCCTTAACAGCAACCCAGTCATTTCAAGGTCACCCCAAGGCCACTGCACCTGCGGAGAGGTTTGTTCATCTTTTCAGGGAGAGCTGGTTGATGTGGTCATATGCGTCGTCTTAAGTGTTCGGGGTCCTTTCCCAACTGGACCCTTTGGCAAAGGGGTGCGACAGCCAAGCTTTGACCTGACCTTGACCTTGAAATTCCTTTGAGCTTGTTCCTGGTCTGCAGCAAAGGCGTTTGGTACGCATTGTCCATAGCCTTCCACGATGCTGGCATCCCTGCCTGGGTCGAGACTTGCTGGCAAATTTGGGTGCAAACCTTTGGTTGACAGCAGCAATGCGGTAGGATAGGTTTGTATAGGCTTTGGTGCATTTGAGCTATAGCCTAAACTTCTGAAAGGGGGTTGTGTAGGGGATTATGTACTGTAGGGGAGTATTGTAAGGGTTATTCAGGGGAATACTAGGAGTTTAGACTGTACTGCATTTTGTGGTCGCGTGGTCTGCTGGAGCACCCAGGACAGCGGCATGCTCACGGAGCCCTGGGAGTCTTGACATGAAGCTGCCAAGGATTCGTGCGAGATTTCGGGGGAGTTTTGTGAGCTCTTCCTACACCATGGTTTACGGTTTAGGGGTCTAGGGCTTTAGGGTTAAGGCTTTAGGGGTTTTGGATTTAGGGCTTCAAGTTTTTAAGGGTCTATGCTGCTTGGAGTCTAGGGAGCCGAAAAGCATCGCTGACACTTGCGACCTTGCCTGCTACCCGCAATTGCGGGACAGTGGTCATGCATAGTCTGATTAAGTTGATGAAGGATCCTGATCATTGTGAGGTCCCTCAACAATACACAATTAGCGGGCAGCAATTCAGAACCCCCTAAGCCTAACCGTTTACGAGGGTTCTCAACAGTGGATGTAACATTTTGTTACGCATGTTCAGATCCCTTAAAGCATCTGCAACGAGCACTAGCCGCGCCGAGGATATTCGCTACGTGACCAGCTTCCACTGGTCCATCACGTCCTTCTGCAGCATAGCCATGTCAAGAACCTTTGGCTTCATCTCATCATGTCTGCTTAGTAGACGGGAAATATGCCGGTTTGACTGACTGCGGAAGCCCATTCTGTCTAGGTTGAGGGCGGTCTGGGCCCTGAGCTCTCTTGCTGAGTGACACACAACCAAGCGCGCGATTCAGACGAGTTTGGTACTGCGTGCGATTCTTATAGCATCTGAAGTGCACCATGGATTTCGCAGCGGTTCATGATATGCCCTTTGGAGGCAATTTACGCCAGCCTCCAAACCTCCTGTCCAGCCTGCAAACATTGCTCCTTGGCATGGCCAAAGACGCTTGCGGTCTCTGTTTGCGGCTTCCTGGACCTCAGGGAGGCTCGCAGGGATAATAGTGGAAGAGATTGTGTAGAATTGCATCCCGTGATCTTTTTAGGAGGTAGACAGCCGCTTCTTGCAGTGGCAGCGCTTGTCTTGCATGACTAGTGTTGGTGTTACTGGCTGGGCTACTATCACCCCTGCCCCAACGACAACAGCCTGGCTGTTGATACTGCTGCTGCCGCCGGTGCAGCTCCTCCTATCGCTTTGACAGCAAGAACACAACCAATAATTCCACAGCGATAACTACTGCGACTACTCCTGCAAATGCTGTCAACTGTTGCTGCTCCTGCTGTTGCCAATACTCTGAATCTGTCTCATGCTTGCGCTGGCCAAGGTCGAGCAGACATTTGCCATCTTTGTCGTGGCAACTTGCCTGGACTGCGAAAAAATCAAGGACAGATGCTAGAGATGCCAACTCGTTTCCGAAGAACTTCTGGAATCTAGGTTCTAGGTTTCTGGCAAAAGCAGCGCCCAAAGCGCATTCCTGCAGAGATGCCTCGAGTGTGCTTGCCTTTTCAGGGAGCTGTTAAGCAACACTAGTCACAAATTTTTACCAGGATCAGCTTAGTCCTTCTATGGGAAGCATGCAAGGTCTTTGCTCTCGTTGGCTTTTCCTATGTCGTCGGGAGCATCCTAGGCTTGCTGCTGCATCAGCCTTCATGAGCATTGTCACAGAGGGCATGTCCTGATTTGCTGTGCATCAATCATGTTCTGCACCAACGTGCTACTCGCTCATGAAACTATGCCTGAAAGCCAATTTGAGCCGGCGTAAGTGTCATCTCTTTCGATCTGACTTGGAACAGCATGCTGCACTCTCTGTGCACTCAGAGGCAGGCTAGTGGAAGAGAAGCGGCTTGCACTTTTCAATGCTCTCGAGGGTCGCTCGCGCAGCTACGAAGCATGACGGAGCAGTCGGCCAAGGATGCCAGTCAGAACTTGCGAAGCTGGGGTGCCGCTTGGCCTCATGTCTTCTGGATGCTGGATGCATGAGTGCAGGACTTCTGGATGATGCGGCGCTTCCTGCGAAGGCACATGGGCCTGTAGAATATGGCCGGACTGTCAGAAAGGCAGGGGAGCACAAGTGTTGCCTGCGGTCCCGGCAGGAACCATGTCCCCATGGAGCTCGCTTCACGCATCCAACGCTTCGTGGAGCACGCGCACTCCCAGCAGCAGAAGAAGATGTCCGTCCAGGTGCCTTGACGATGGGTCACGGGATATGTCTAGGAGCAGCGCTTGCTGGTGTAGAAAGTGATTGCGACTTACTTACCTGATCAGAGACCATGCTGCCTGCTTGACGATTGAACGCACAAGCCAAGGAAGTGAAGGTGGCTTGGCATAGCATAGCGGCAGGTGTCAATGTCCTATATGTATGTATGTAGGTAGGTAGGTAAGTTGGTTCACCGTTTTCTAGTGGTGCCATTCCGGACTGAAGTCGGTCACTGCAGCATGGCCGCTCGCGCTAGAGGAGTTGCGGGGTAGCTTAAACCAGTTGCAGCGAATTGCGGGCAGAGGCCAGGCTTGCGGTTACAGGGTAAATCTGGCTCTGCTCGCGCCTTGGATTTGGTGGTAGATGGGCGGGTTGGGGAATCCGTCCGCCGCGTTGTAGGTGATGGCCAGATAATCCTGAAATGGGTTGGTCCAGGGTTGTCCAGCTGCCACTCCAAGGTCTTATCATTGCTGTCAGAAGGTCTCATGGAAGAATTGCAGTGTGCTGGAGCCTTAGTTTTCGCCGACGTCCAGGCTTGGCAGCTGTCAGACTGGCCGAGATATTCAGGCCATGAACATGCCGCACATGATGGTTCATCCTCTTTTTGCTTTTCTGAACAGCTTCTCCGCCGTGGCCTCAATCTTTTCTCACGAGTTTCTGCTCTTCGAGCTGGCTGTGCACTGGAGTTCCTGTTCATGAAGCTCAGGTAATCACAGTGCAACGCCTAGCCAAAGAGGCCGTGCAACGTTTCCAGCTGGCTCGAGGGGACACGTCGCTTGTCTGAAGCCATCAGATAAAAAGCTTTGCTGGTGCCTAAAACCTCCCCATGCGCAACAGCTAGGTTTAGCTGATTAGGCTAGATCTGCAATGATCTACTTGTACATACTGTAGCTGCGTGCTCTTCTGTGCCTGAGGCAGTTTCTACCGAATCAGGAAGGCAGCTACCTGTACTTCATCGCCGCTGGCCGGATGCAATATGTCAGGCCTGCATCGTGTACAGGAGTTCTGGCAGCCCATTGTTGTTCCTGTGGGTCTGCACCTTCAGCTGAGCTAGTGGCAGGCGGGGCCCAAGGCTTTAGTTCGAAATTGTCACCCCGTCATTCTGTAAACTGCCACCTCCTCTGCCCTGGCCTTGAGGGCCACAATTCCATACATCTGCAAGTTGGAGTTCACCTTGCACCCACACGCACAAAAAAAACAGAAACTTGAGCAATGTTTGCTTCCCATTCCAGGAATCCATCTCTAAAGCGATTTAATATCCTGTGCCTCCAGCACCTTTCGACACTGCGCTTCTTCAAAATGCCCATGCTGATGTCGAGGGATGCAGACACTCCAAACGCGCGCGTGGAAGTCGTGGACAAGGGCGAGGACATGCCGCTGACTGTAAGCTGCAAGCTGCTGGCAGCTGGATGACATTGTGCAGGACTGGATCGGAGAGCCGGTGATGTGGACCCCATTCTGGGTACACGCACCTTTGCTGATGTAGTGCCAGATCTCACCGGGCAGCCGTGTTCCCATGACTCATGTTTTTTCTCCGAACTTTGAAAAGCTCCAAAGAAAAGCCGATCACTACGACGTTGTTGTAGACGCTGCTTTTTCAAGTTGCATCAAGAATTCGACATCTCAAGTACAGGAAGCCAACAGAATCTGCCCGCAGATTTCCGGGAAGTTGTGTCAATTTTGTCAACGAAGAGCAAGGGCCGGCCTGACATTCCAGGTTGGGAAAGCACGTGTGATTGCAAGTGATTTGTGTTCTCGTTTGGAACTCTAGGAGCTTGAGCGTGTGGTCATGGAAGGTCGTGGAGTGTCATGTCGAGTGGTTGTGGCCCAGGGTAAACGCATGCCATCGCTACATTCGAACGTTGATTGCTTCTGCTTCCGTCGTGCTCGTTTAGTGGGCAGCGCAGCTGCTCCTGCTGCCGATGGCTTCTAAAGTCTCGCATTTGCTTCAGCTTGGGTACTGATGATGGTGGCATACAGCAGCTGTCAATGAGATCATTTTCTTTTTTCTCCTAAGGTGGGCCAGTTGACCGCAGTGTCGGAGTGTGATCTTTGCGCTGTGGCGCCAAAGGCGTTTGGCGATATCGTGGCGCTCGTACGGCGCGCTGGGGTGTTGGGGCATGGACAGGTTTGGATTGTTTGTGTGAGGGCATCCTAGTGGTGATTGGAGCGGTTGAATGCAAGATTTGCTGACCTGTGATCGTGCTCCCAGACATGGTTGTGAGCGGGGAAGCTTTATGTAAGAGCAAGCAGCAACGCATGACTGAAAGGCCTGTCGCCGCCATCGTCGCGCGCTACTCGCAAAAGTTCATGATGTGGCCGCTCAGCGCAGCAAGATCAGCAAATCTCCTACAAGTATCCGGAGGCATTGACCTGCCTCCAAAAACATTATTTGCAATATTGAAGCAATCTGGGACGGCAATCAGCACGAGTCAGCACCACACGAGGTTTCAAGTGTCAAGATGCTGTAGCGCATGGTTGCACGGTGCCAAGGGTCAAGGATTTGGACACGAAGGGAGAGCTGACCGACGTCATCCAGGGTGAGGACGCCGCCAGCCTCAGAGCGAGTCAAATCGGCCTGTGGAACGAAGTGCATAGTTGCATGTGGAGTGACTCGCGCCAGATGATAAGATGTGAAGCTTTTCAACAGCTGCACGCCTGGCTTTGCCAAGGCGACGGACACCATCAGAAGCCTCTTGCTATGAATGCTAGCGATGCTAGTGCTAGTGTTCGGCTTGGTGCGAGAAGAGGTTTCGGGTCCCGAGTGGCAGGCCGTTCGTGATGGCTGTGAGACTTGCTCATCATCCAAGGCTTTCTCGACTAGTCGACCTGAGAGGTGGCATGTGCCGCATGTATGCCCATGGTGCAGACCATGGCAATTGCCCTTGCGAAAAGATTAGTGGAACGAGAGCCATGAAAAAGCACCTGGCTGCAGCCGGGGGCGGTTGTCATGTCGGTAGCACGAGTCAAAGCCGGACTCCTGCGTCATCAAGGAACAGGATTCAGTGGCCAGATCGTGGTTGCACAGCCAAATGCTCCATGACCAAACTTCCCGTTTTTGATTAAGATGCGCAGAAGCTGCAGAAGAGTTGAGGGATGGCGGTATAAAGGAAGAGCTCGGGAGGAGAGAGCTTCCGACAAGGAAGTTGAGAAATCGGAGACTTCTTCTGAACATGCTGCCCTGCTCCACTCCAACATGCCTCTACAGTCAAGTTGTGTTTCGGTTCCGATTGCTGTGCAACTGCTACTGGTTCTCGGCTTGTCACATGATTAGTGTTTCACCACGTCAGCGATTTTCTCCGCCAAGAGACCAAAAAGCGGAGGATGGGTGCAGGCTTTGGTGCGTCAAGTCTCTGGTGCTGGGGTTCAGTTTTCAAGTTAGGACAATAGAAAATCATCCAGAGGTTGTCAGCTGAGGGCTTGATGAAGATATCGAGATATCTAGCTCATGAAAAAAGGCCACTGCCAGGAGATACGTATGTCACGTGGGATCAAGCCCTGAAAGCCTCCAGCCACTCCGGTCGCACTTCGTTGCCAGATCCGCGCTCAGCCGATATTGCTCAGGGGCACGCTGCACCGTACTTGAGCCCGGCGGCTGAGGCACAGGTGTCCAGCTGAACTTAGTGGATTCACCGCTTTTGATGCTTAAGATGGGCTGTAGAGAGAGGATCCCGCAGAAGGATGGAACATCTTTCGGAGAGGGCGTCTAGCTCAAACTTCTTTGATCCATTATATCCATGCCGTATACTGCAAAATCACGTGTTTTGGTGCAGAGAACCTTGTCAAGGCAGCTTGCGTGACTCGCCTTTTTTTAGCGGATCTGTAATAAAAGCCACGATGGCTGCTTCAGAACACATGAATGCGCAATCCCTAGGCTGTGATCCCCAATCAAACCCTTATCCTGGAACTTATGCCTAAAACCTCACCCCCCAAACCCCACTGTAGTCACTAAAGTTACCAATCCCCCACAACCACTGCCTGCGCCAGGCCATGGCAGCGACGGAAACCGGAGGAACCTCCGCTCGTTTGCCGATCTCTCAGTCACTTTCAATCCTTGGGAAATGCATTGCCATAGGATGTTTGGGGGCCAGGGTCCCTTTGATGTTGCATTGTCTGCACACTGCAATAAGACCGGCTGGTGAGACGGGTAACGACGGTGTCATATTCAGAGCAAGGATACCGATGCTGTCGATGATATGCTAGGGTTCAGCAGCAGCACTCAGTGCAGGTAACAGTGTGGACCATACAACAAGGGCATAGACCTTGTACGTACCTATTGCACAATTGATTACAAAGGTTCATTAAGATCCTAGAAGGTATCTTAGATGTTTTGTGCTTGGCACTTGTGAAGGTCTAGTGCCTTGAGGGTTTCGTAGGATGCAAACGTCGGAGCTGCATGAGCAACTCCGAAGACATCCCAGCCAAAGCTGCGAGGTCCGGGGTGTAGAGTCTGAGCCCCTAGATTCCCTGGATACTAGATAGAGCTGGTATTTGCCTCCTCTTGTTTTCGGTAGGTTCCTTGCCTCCGCAGCACCGCATCGTTGCATGTCTTTGTTGTGTGTGTGTCTTGGTTGGTTTGTTGGTTGATTGGTTGGTTGGGTGGTTGGGTTAGGGATGCCAAGCCGAACGGAGCAGTGCCCACCTGTCAACAGGATGCCAACTCCTCGGTCAATTTCGATCTATCTCGCGACTTTGCTTGCGCGTGCTAGCCAACTGAGCAGAGATCAAAACCCTCTAGGGGAACCCTTTAGCAAGTGGCAGTAAACAGCTTCCGTAAGCAAAATCGTTCCGCATGTTGCGCC